TTGACATCAGTCTCATTTTATTGTTGAGTTCTCACCGAAACTGTCTTTGCGCCTTAGCCAACGTAGTTGCGACACTGAGATTCCAAAGCCGAGATAATCTACTGGATCATCTTTTGATTGCCATCTAAAAATCACTCAGGCTCAAGCGAAGCAGACTCAGCATTTTTAAAACAGCAAAACAGTTTTCTTTTTTGAGATTACATCAACCATTGTTTTTATAATAACGCTTAAAATCTGGCCATGCTAGGACCCAACATTCTACACAGATGCGTGGCTTATTAAGTGAAAGTCAAGGAAAAATCTGAAAATTCTTACGACTTATGAAACATGTTGAGACATGGGCTATACATTGTGACATTTTGAGGCGTTTTTAAAAAGCCATGTCATATATTGCACCCTCATGGGAGTGGGGGGGGGGGATGAATCATTTTGCTTGTGTCATTATAATCATTTCTATCACTTGGAAAACAAATCTTTAAGATCTCTGAGCCCAAAAGTTCGTCATAAACCCAAATATGGACTTGTTAGACAAAGGCCGAAGAGGACGACGTGGAGGGTGTGCACTGGGCTGAGAAGCCTTTCCCTCTGTTGTCCTCTTCCTCCCCTTGATCTGTCCACCACTCTACATCCACTGGCGTCTCCAGATCTCCACTCAGGGTGCTGGACATCCTTCTCTTTCGAAAGAGTCGGTCGGTGATAGGTTCACTTCTTCTTCTGTTGCCATGATAACCCGAGGCGGGATCACGTGATGTCTCACCATTGTTGTGGGCGGAGTTGAGCATAGGCTGACTGCCTCCAGCAGTGTTGATGTACTGGTGTTCGTAGCTCGCTGAGAACGGACCCAAATCTGGAGCGTTCGCGTTGTTCTTGTTGCCCCATGAATCCAGAGCACAAGGCAGGTTTGCTGCATACACAGAAAAATTCTGAGATACGGCATTTCTCTTCGCCGCTGACGGTGTAGATGGTGGCGATGGAGCTGGACCAAACGCCTTATAACTGTCGGTGTTTGAGCTGGGACTGTATCGTCCATCGTAACTGTCGTAAGAGCCACGGCTGTACACCTGATCGTTTTGAACGTTGAGGTACTGGACAGGGCTGTCTTGATAGCTTAAGTGTCTGACCCTCGCGAGAGACTCTGGACGTACGTAGCCACTGTTACCGTTTGGTCCGTCTCTGTGACCATGTGGTGCTCTCGTGTTCGAATGATTTCCGAAATGGTTGTCCCTATTTGCTCGAGTGTCCATGCCATATGAGGGTTTGCTTGAATTTAGGGAGCCCAGATCTCTTGAGGGTCCACCCATACCTGTGGGTACGGACAAAACTAAAGACGGGTCATGGGACATGCGTCTTCTTTGATGCCGACCAGTCTCATATTGGTCGCTATAATTATTACAGTCCCTACCTGGGGTGCCATCGGAAATATCAATTTCACCTGGCGCTATTTGTAGAGCAAGTCCCCCACCAGTTGATGATCTGTGTATAGATCTGGGTTTGGGAATCGGGCGATATGGCGTACGATAACAAGCCTCAGAGTCAATATCTTCATACTCATGCTCCGCCGGTTTGTTTCTACCACCAGTTGCCCTCGAATGAGGAGCCTTCGACTCTACCCGAGCAGATGACTTGGCAAGATCTGGCCTGGAACTCAGGTATTGCTCAGAGTAGGTACCAGGCTTTCCATTGCGAGGAGCTGCTGTGTTCCCATGGGAACTTTGAGTGGCATTTCGACCAATGCTCTGCTCCAAAACAGCAGGAAGATACGTGTGGGGTTGGTAGACTGCACTTTCCAGACTACCATCCCCTCCTCCCCAGCCCGAAAGGCCTCCCTTTCGAGCCTCTCCATCTTTTGCGCCACTAAAGGCTATGCCATCCCGGTTGTTCCCGACTTCATTTCTGGGGTGATTTATTCTCGGCTTATCGTAGCTTTTACTTAGTTCTCTTTCTTTATGTTTATTGTTTCCTGCTCGATAAGAATTTATGTTTGATTTTCCTCGTCCATGGGGTATTCGATCACCACTTTCCTCTTGAGGGTGCCCTGCGAGACGTGCCTTGTCGGAAACGGACACAGTATCGTTACTGAACTTGTCTACGCGAAACTGATACGAGCGTTCCGCGTCTCTGCTGTCTCTGTCAGTGTCAACGTTCTTTCCAGCTTTGACCCCAAAACCGGCACTGGTGTCGTCATCCTGATCCCGGCCTGGCACGACCTGCGTGCTAAGGGGGAGTGCCTGGGTAGTTGGATTGTGCTCTTCACGCTGGTAGACCGCATTGTTGAACATCCGAGGCTTCTTCGGCTGCTGTGTCCGTGCTGTGCTTGCGGGCAGTGTAGTCACTAGATAGCGTTTTCTCCTGGAAAAACAAAACGTGCCTTATTGAAAGTCGTTTCTTGTAAGAAAGGGGGACGATTGCTCTACAAACAAACTTGCTGTCGTGACGAAACTAAATCAATTGGCACTCACGCTTTGGTGCAGTAAATGACGATAGCGGCCATGACGATGATGATAACCAGCAGAAGAAAGCCGAGGATGATGATGAGATACCAGTCTTTCCACACAGCACCGCTGCCCTTTGAATCAAATGGAGAGAAAAATACCGTAAAGATGAAGACACAAACACCTGCAGCTACAGTCTAACAACGGAAAACAAATGCACTGTAGCTAGAAGAACTTTGGGGTTAAAGAGAAGAAAAAATTACTCTTTGAAAATGAAAGGAGAACAAGTCTTAACACTTTTATGCCGTTTTAATGTCAAGAATAAATAGTGGTCCATATACATACGAAGTCAGTAACGTCACTGTCACTGCGTGACAAAAAGTAAAAACAAATACCCTGTTGTTGTTGAGGTGTTTTTTTTTGCCTGGTTGTATAATATGGCCCAGAAATACAAAATGAACTTGACACAGGATTGTCTCTCTGGAACTTTTGCCTGGTTGCCAATACCAAAATTGAAACTCACTACCTCAGAATTACAAAGTTCTATCTGACATTTTTGGCCGTTTTCTTTGACCACGAGGACAGAAACCAAATGTTCTGTCTGCTCGATCAAAGTCCTAAAATTATTCGGAGTTGTTATCAAGGTACTTAAAGAAGTGCATTCCAAAACTTTTGGCATTTTGTGTAACTCAAAACTTATTATGTCAAATTTATCAAAACAATGTACTGAGCAGATAGAACTTTGTAATTCTGAAGTAGCGAAATGTTGGGAGACACTTTCAATTTTTCCGATTTTTCTTACCTGTCCTGTATCCATCCCTTGCCGGTTTCCTGAAAGAGAGGTGGGTTTTTAAGACTTAATAAATTGTAAAGTGAAGCTGGATTACGACCATAGCAAGACAGAATGAAGAGAAGACAAGACAGAGGAAGCAGATTCGACTTTGGATTAATTAAAAGAGTTGGAGGCTGCATCATAATTTTGATCAGAAACAGATTAATTCTAGCACATTAACATATTTCTCACAGAACAAGCTAGAACTTTCTTTAGCCTCTGATGACGTAAACAGTAAAAGAGTCATTTGGCCCACACCAGTGATCATTTGTTGTCTTTGAACTCTTTGTCACATTTACTTTTGCTATATTGGAAAAGAAAGGCAACAGGTACTCATTGCTTATCTGGCTCTGCTTTCATAGGAAGAGGTGGAGCAGCCCACAAAAACCTGCAAATTAATTTAAATAATCAGAAGAAGAACAACAAAAAGAACACCAATTAGAACAAGAAGAACAAGAACAAGAACTAAAACTAGAACAAGAACAAGAGCAAGAACTGTTTTAAACACAAAATCTCGATGACATTTACAATTTGTCTGTTTTTCTTTCAATTCCATTGCACTATTCCCTGATCGGTTAGAGACAAAATGATATTGTAGTAGGATATGCATGCACCCTGAAATGACAATTAGCTCGTGGTATCTCTTTCTCAACTCCAATAGTTACCAGCGGTTCCAGAGTCGGGGATGTAGGGCACGCCAGCAGTAGTTGTCGGCTCCAGCACACGAGGCACACTTGTCACCAAGTCCCCGCTGACCCCTTGGTTGACCTCTGTGGAGCGGTCACGGTCAACTTCGCCTTCTAAGAGATGGCACCACTGACCATCGAACCCCGGCAGGCAGAAGCAAAGGGCCCCAGCAGGTGTCTCTAGACATGTGCCCTGGTGCTGGCAAGGCCTTAGGTGGCACACAGGGTAACGTTGCTCGCAAAGGAGACCTGAGGGTTAGCCACAGGATCAGAAGAATTAATTAAGTGCGGAAAATGTTATTTGAAAATGATTATATAAATCCGTTCCTCTCAAAAGAGGAGAATGCCCAGTCGTTCGTTTCTTAACATACACATACACATTCGACCATCAAACAAAAGTCCTGCATTTATCTCGTATTTTGCAAAGCGTGTTCGGTCGCAGCAAGATGAACGTATACTAAGAAGAAAAAGAGAAAAAGAAACATTAGATCTGTCGTAAAGGGAAGCTCAATTTTAAATTTCAAGAGCCAAGATTTGTTACAACTGCCTGTAGGGTAAAGTGAAGGATAAAGGGGTAACCACTCACAAACAGAGTAAGTGGACGGTGAAATTAATGGATTGGTGGTGTGCAAGAGAGGTGTGTGCATGCGTGTACCTATAAGCTTGTGTGTATGTGTTTGTATGTACATTATGTGTGTATTTGTGTGTAAGTGTGTGAGTGTATGTGTGTGTGTGTGTGTGTGTGTGTGTGTGTGAGTGTGTGTGTGCGAGTGTGTACGTATGTGTGTATGTGTGAGAGAGTGCATGCTCGAGCGATGTATATTAGGAAAAGGCACTGGCGTGGGTAGGGTAAAATTCCTTGTATTTCTGCTTGTCCATAGCATTGTTTTGAAAAAAAGTTACCACACATAAATACCGCCTGCTTCTTAAAGCATGTAGCCAGGGCATATCAATGAGCCAGGGTCACTTACTTTTGATGCTTATCTTGATTTTGCTGAATGAATGGTAACCTTGGTCCAGATCTATGTAGTGAGACTCAGGTTCGTGCCAGATTTGGGTCAGAATTCTATCTTTATATAAATAAGACATTCTGTCATTCAGCACAGTGCCCTGGTCACACATTCAAGAATATACGCTTGTTTTTTCTTCTATTTTGTTCTTGTTTTGTGTTTTTAAAAACTAAACAGTAAAGGTCTACATGAGGTTTCCATTTGAAACTCACCTGACCTACTACTCTAAGGTATCGAATAAGCGTTCCCTCCCCCCCCCCCCCCCCATTCGCCTACTAATTTTCAGTTTTTTTGCTTACCCCTCCACCCGCCCGCTCCTTATTTCATATCGCCCGTTTATTATTTTCCAGCATGCCACGGCCGACTATCATGTGAAACATAATGATATCTAGAATCTAGATACCTGAATGAAACTTCTTTTTGTTTTGTAAATGCCAAATTACCCTCAGTATTAGTACCGGTACCAGGTTGGCTTCCTCAATTTTCTGTGCATGTTAACAACTTTTGTACGTTGATTTATATTTTTTTTAATGAAACTGGTTTCTTCCTAAATAGCAAATGTTGTAAAAGTAACTTACTAAAATACTCTAAAATTTCATGATCTTTTGTCCTTTTATTCACTGATGGAGAAAAAAAACAACAGATTTGTTCCTACTAGTACAGGGGCATGAGGTTGAATGTGCCACCCCCC